GATGCAGAATTGCAAGCATTACTCGAAGAAGATTCATGTTTATAGCTCGATAGGTTGTCAAAAGAGTTAAATGTTGATAGATCCACTGTTGGAAAACGTCTACACGGAATAGGAATGGTGCATCAAGAAGGAAATTGGGTGCCATACAAATTGAAAGAGAGAGACATGGAAAGACGTTTGGTCATCTGCGAGATGCTTCGTCAACGACAACAAAGGAAGGGTTTTCTACATCTTATCGTAACTGGCGATGAAAAATGGATGTACTACGATAACCCTAAACGCTTGAAAGCATGGGTGATGCCAGGTGAACCAGGTCCATCAACGCCAAAACGAAATATCCATGCTTCGAAGATTATGTTGTGCATCTGGTGGAATCAGAGAGGTGTTATACATTATGAGCTGCTCAAACCGTCCGAAACCATCACTTGCGATCGTTATCGACTACAGCTGATACGTTTAAATCAAGCTTCGAAAGAAAAACTACCGGAATGGGACAATAGGCACAACAAGCTGATTCTGTTACATGACAACGCTAGGCCACACGTTGCAAAACCGGTCAAGAAATACTTGGAAGGAATAAAGTGGGAAATTCTGCCCCACCCGTCGTATTCACCGGACCTTGCTCCTTCAGATTTCCATTTGTTCCGATCCATGCAGTCGGCCCTTTCTGAAGAACGATTCAATTCTAATGAAGATATAAAAAAATGGTTTGATGAATGGATCGCTTCAAAAAAACCAGATTTTTTCATTCGAGGAATCCGTTTATTACCGGAAAAATGAGAGAAAATTGTCGCTGCCGAAGGAGCATACTTTGAATAAACTCACTTATATAGATTTGTTTAAATAAAGACACCTTTTTATTTTCAAAAAGGGCGGAAACTTATTCCCATACTCAATATTAATTAGAGCGGAATATTTTTATCATTTATTGTGCGTAGATCAAGTCAAGTTAAAATCTCAAGCCATGATTATACAGAACACTCAATTAGATTGGAGCACCCTTACGGAGAAAACTCTTAAAATTTGAGTGTTTACACTTTAATAAACACTGAAAAAATACATTCAAGGTAACACTCAATTAATGATTATTTTGGACGCTCAACCTGAGTATAACTCTCAACTTGAGTGTTATTGATGACTTGAATGTTGAGTGTTAATCTCAACTTGATAGTTAACTTTAGTGTCAGGGTGAAATCATACGGTGCTGAAAATGATTGCGGAACAAAGAATGCGTCATTCAGCGGACTCAACAGTTGAGTGAGCACTCGCTGTTATTGGTATATTCTTCTAGATCTAAAATTCTGATTGAATGAGCTAAAAGGATACACTAATAACAGCGAGCATGGCACTCGCACTTAACTGTTGAGTCCGCTGAATGCGCCCATTGAAACAACCAATTAGCGCTATTCGGAATAACGCAGAATAAATGATTGGTTGCTCTTGTGACGTATTTTCTTTTCCGCACCGTGTGATTTCATCTCTTAGACCCTACGTACAATGGAGGAAGTATTATTATAGGAATAGAAATAAATATTAAAATTTCAAAACAAATAAAAATTTCAAAACAAATAAAAATTTAAAAACAGATTAAAATTTCACAACAAATATTAAATTGTAAACGCCATTGTTTTTAAGTACGCAAAAATTTGTATAGGGTAGAGGGGGCAAAGTCCCTACATACTCCCCCCCGAGTGTAAACGTTATACAGAAAGAAAATAAAAGTAATATTTATAATAACAACAAAACTTAATAGGTAATTTCGAACCGGATTTACATAGTTCAACTTATAAGTAATTAATCTTAAATGTCAAAAAAAAATTTTTTGTGCGTTGCCACTTATTAATTAATTTTTTAAAACTAGAACTTAATTGTTACAGTTTAGCGTTGTGATCGAAATGAACATGCTTTTTGACCCGCGAGTAGGTTTTTAATACAGGTGGAAATGATTGTGTTGAGGTCGATGCGTCTGTTTGTGCACTTGTCTGTTGAACTGGTGTATTCATTATCGTACTTCGGTGATTTCTGGTATAAAATATGCTGGTTTGAGTCTTTCTACCGATACATTGACTGTCTTGCCTTGAACGTTTAACGCGAACACCCTTTCTGAGATTCGTTGAACGATTTGGTGCGGGCCCGAATACGGTCGTTCCAATGCTCGTTTGGCGTCATTACGCAAGAATACATGTGTACAACTAGCTAGGTCCTTATAATAGAAAGCGCGTTTTTTGTACTTATGTATAACAGGTACAGGTTTACATTCTCGCATGAATGTACGAAAATCGTTTACAAAAATTTGAGGGTCTGGTGTGAAATCGTTGTCGGTCACGAATTCACCGGGAATTCTTAACGTAGTTCCGAACAAGAATTCGGCCGGGGACGCACCAGTATCCAGTCGGACTTGATTACGTAATCCTAGTAAAACTGTGGGCAGTAAATTAGCCCAATTCGAAGAGTTATGGCACATCAATGCGGCTTTCAAAGTACGATGCCATCGTTCGATCATTCCATTAGCCGCGGGGTGATATGCGGTTGTGCGTACTCTTTCACACCCGGTCAATTGGAGAAGAGCGTTGAATATTTGGCTTTCAAATTGTTTTCCTTGATCGGTGGTTAAAATTTTGGGGACGCCGTAACGCGAAATCCAGTGATCGTAAAATGCGCGTGAAACTGTTTGGGTGGATATATCTGCTAATGGAATAGCCTCGGGCCATCTCGAGAAACGATCTATTATCGTTAGACAATAACGAAAACCTTGGCAAACTGGCAAGGGCCCGATCAAGTCCATATGGACGTGATCGAAACGTCCGTCTGGGGCTGTGAAGTCAGCAGGCAAAAGTTTAACATGGCGCGAGACTTTGGATTGCTGGCACTCTATACAATTTTTAGCCCATCTGGTTATGTCTCGATGCATATGATGCCAGATGTATCTTTGACGGATAGTTCGGTCTGTTATTTTCGCGCTGGGATGAGCGGGTGCGTGGAACATGTCAAAAACTTTGCGCCGTAGCGATACTGATATATACGGTCTGAATGATTCGCCTGAAATTTCGCAATAAATTGACGAGTGTTCTGAGCCCAGTATCAGTCTTTGTAACTTCATTGATGTTGTTGTAGATTTTAATAATTCTGGTAGTTGAGGGTCATCTTTCTGAAGTTTGGCTAGTTCTAACATAACAATTCGATTTCGCAGGGTAAACGCAGTGACTCGACCCGTGACAAGCTATCTGCGACGATATTCTCCTGGCCGGCTATGTGCGCGATGCAGGAGGTGAATTGCGAGATGAATGATAGTTGGCGGATCTGTCTCGGTGATGCTTTATCTGTGCGTTGATCGAACGCATAAACAAGAGGTTTGTGATCGGTGAGAATTGTAAACTGTCGTCCTTCTAGGGAGTCACGAAAATATTTAATGGCTTCGTAGATCGCGGTTAGTTCGCGGTCGTATGCGCTGTAGTTTTTCTGAGTGGGCGTGAATTTTCTCGAAAAAAATGCTAGAGGTTTCCATGCATTTCGGGAGCGTTGTTCAAGAACTGCGCCCATCGCGAAATCGGATGCATCAGTAGCTACGCGCAGTTCGGCGTTCGGAGAAGGGTGCTAGTAGTGCGGCGTTGACTAGGCTGGCTTTACATTTCTCGAACGCGTTTTCTGTTTCGTTCGTCCAATTGATGATGCGCTTGTCATTCTTTCGCGAATCTTTGAGGAATATGTGTAAGGGTGCTTGAAAAGACGCTGCATGACGTAAGTAACTGCGGTAAAAATTGAGCATACCGAGGAAACGACGCAAATCCGTAACTGATTTTGGCTTTGGAAATTTTTGAATAGCATTTACTTTTTCTGTTGAAGGTTTGCAGCTTTCTCTGTTAATGTGATGTCCTAAGAAGGTTAATTCTGATACGCCTATAACGCACTTGTCCGTATTTAACGATAACCCAAATTTTTTTAGTCTAGTAAGGACTATACGTAAGTGGCGTTTATGTTCCGCTATGGAGGATGATGCGATTAAAATATCGTCTATGTACGAAAAGACAAAATCCAGGTCTTTAAGTGCTAGGTTAGATAGCGTTGAAACGTTTGCGCGGCGTTCCGCAATCCGAATGTCATTACTGTAAATTCATATAACCCGAAGGGAGTGATTACTGCCGTTTTCGGTATATCTTCTTCGGCTACGGGAACCTGATTGTAAGCTTTGAATAAATCTAAAGACGAAAATATACTTTTGCCATGTAAGTTGGCTGAAAAATCGTGCAAGTGCGGTACCGGGTACTTGTCGGGGACAGTCACTGCGTTAAGGCGACGGTAATCACCACAGATTCTCCATTCCCCCGTTTTTTTACGAACCATGTGGATGGGGCTTGCCCAGGGGCTACTGGATGGTCTGCAAATGCCGAGCTCTATCATGCGTTTGAATTCTGCTTTAGCCGCTGTTAACTTATCTAGAGGTAACCGGCGTAGGCGTTCTGCAACCGGGGGGCCGGTTGTGGTGATGTGATGGTTAATGTCTCTAGGCGCGAACGCGCGGTTTTGAGTGATGCCCGCTACTTCCGGGAATTCTCTGAGAATGTGTGCGAATTCAAAAGAACGGTCAATAATTGAGACGTTTAATATGGGTGTAGCTGTGACTTCTCCTTTGACTGAGAGCGCGGTAACTTGATCGGTGAGGGTGCGTTCGTGTAAATTAACTGATAAGCGATAGTGTTTTAATAAGTCGGCGCCTATAATGGCGAATGGGATATCTGCTACACAAAAATTCCAGATAATAGGTCTACGTAGCCCGAGATTCAACGTCAGGCAAATTTCACCGTAAGTTGCGACTCGCGTATTATTTGCTGCGTAGAGCTTCAAGTTAGTTTGTGTTTTAATATTGGTAGAGGAAACAGGGATAATTGATAACTCTGCACCCGTGTCAACAAGGAATTTACGCCCGGCGACTCTGTCAAATATGTGGAGACGGTTTTCCGTGATTTTACCTCCGCCGACCGCTTCCATCCGGGAAGGTTTCTTTAGTTTTCCTGGGTTGTTTTTCCGTCGATCCAATTACATGGCTGTTGACATCGGTATGCCTTATTGCCGAACTTACGGTGATAAAAACATTTTCCGTCCGCACTACGAGAGTGGTTACGTCTTCTCATCGGTTGACGGGAGTTACTTGGCGACTTAGATCGTGTACGAGATTTTCTTTCGCGTAGCAGGGTGTTCATGCCTTGAACTAACTGCTCTAAGAGCGAATGCTCAGGCGTCTTATTAATAGAACTAGTTTGAGGAACGTAGTTACCTGCTGAGTCCTCGGTTTTTGAGCTGTTTATGGGAGCTAACGTGTTATTTGATGACACTGATTCTGCTATCTTATCTGCTATTGATGCGAGTTTATTGAGGTCAGACTCTTCGATCGTCGCCAAAATAGTGCGATAACTCTCCGGAAGTTGTTCGATGAACAATGTCCTAATGATACTGTCGGTAGCTTGGTCCCCGGCTAAATTCTTGAGCTCCTGCAGTAAATGAGATGGTTTTTTATCGCCGAGAACCTGTCCTTTTAATAACTGACGTAGTCTAGCGCCTTGAGAAATAGAAAAAACATTTAGTATGCGTTCCTTTATAGCGTCATATTTTCCGTTCGTAGGGGGATTCATAATTAAATCTTTGATATGAGGAAGAATTGCGGTATCCGCGTTCGCTAGTATAATGTGAAATCTAGTCGTGTCGTCTGTTACTTTTGCTACCTGGAAGGACGCTTCTACCATGGCGAACCATACTTCTGGATCGTTTGCACAGAAAGGTGGGATTTTGGGCACCCTGTACGCGTTGATTTGGTTTGGTGTCCCTTCCATTGTACAAAAATCGTTATCTGAGTGATATAGCAACGTTTAGGTTACCGCGGGCTTGCGTAATATTACGCAGACGCAATTGAAAAATGAGTGTTCACGGAAGCAAAAAGAAAAGAAAATAATTAAAATTGTTGTACTAGGCCTTATTTATAACTCGCAGTATACTATCGCTGTGGCTGCTTTGCTAGTGGTATGGTGAGCCTGTAGGTGTGGACTCGTCCAATGGCGGCGCGTTGCAAATGGCCTCGTTCGTAGAGGAAATCCTTATTCGTCAATGGTGAAATGAAGGTTGGCTTCCTGGTCGTGGCTCTTCGTCTTGGAACCTGCTGCGATGCCCGTGGAATCAAGCGGTGATTTGGGGCTTGGTTTCACGTCTCTGCCGACCGTGTGCCCGGGTGCAAGTATGCCGGCGAGACTGTAACTCGCTGTTGCGTAGCGGCTCTTTTTCGATGTACCGCATCCGTTATTTCGTGTGATCGCCAATATATAACTGGATCACGTCGGGGTCACCAATGTAGGAATTTCAATGTAGGAATCTCAAGCAAATACACCAGACTGGCAGATGTGCAATCAAACTTTATTTTTGTGACAAACTCGTATATGTACGTACGTACTAGTCGGCAGATATGGCGGAGAGTTGCATCACCAACGCCAATGCTATCGCTCGCAACTCCCTAGAGAATACGCACATGCCAGATGAGAAACCCATGTAGGGTAGAGGGGGCAAAGTCCCTACACATTCCTAGCAACCCGTGCCCTCTTGCAGTTAGCGAAAGAAGAACAGCATTGTTTTCCGAGAGGCGCAGAGGTTATCAGTCGAGACATGTTTGTCGATGATTTGTTGTCAGGAACCCAGTCTTTGGAGCAAGCCTTACAACTCAAAGAGGAAATTATACAGCTGCTTCAAAGTGGAGGCTTAGTTCTGCGAAAGTGGGCATCAAACGATCCGCAATTCATTTTCAATAGTTTCTATAATAGCGCACGAGAAGGACTACAGAAACTCTACAGTTATCAATAAAATTCTATGAGTATAATTTTCTATAGTGTTTTACCTATTTAATTCTTATCAATTTTAATGGTGTTTCATGTACAGTACCGATTTATAGGCTATGGTTGTCAAACTATGAAAGTCGATGTTCTTTATGGAAAACAACTTATGGCCATCGGCTGGCCAATGTGTTTCAATAGATTTTTTCTTATAAGTTTTTATGGTGAATTTACTAGAGATCGTTAATACTGTTCTATGTGGAATTGCATGCATCAAGTGGTCTGTTGGTAATAATAGGAAATACCCTACTGTAGTAATGATTATAGTTTTTAATAGCGTTTTAATTTCTTGGAAATAAAATTATGATAGGTAATTATTTAGAAGACGCCCCTTATCTTCAATTTCAATGAAATTATGCTCATTCAACGCATTTTTGCATGATACGATAGAATTCGAAAGTAAAATATTGTGCTTATAGGCCCCGCGAACCGAGATATTAAGCGTTAAAGTTGACGACTATTGAGGTTAGGAAATCTACTACACCGACTTTTTTAATAGTTTTTAATAGTTTTTAAAAGTTAACTTATCATACATAGCAAGAACAGAACAGTCTTTCGTTTTGAATGAAAACGCATCAAATGAGCCTAATTTCATTAAATTTAGAGGGGAGGTACCGATTCTAAATAAATATCGACTAAAATACGTAGGATAGTGCTAAATTAAGTCGGTGTGACAGATTTCCTAACCTCAATATAATAGTCAACTTTAACGCTTAATATCTCGGTTCGCTAAGCTAGGCACATTTTACTACAAGATCGATTCTTTCGTTTCATACAAAAACACGTCGAATGAGTATAATTTCATTGACATTCAAGATGAGGGGCGTCTTCTAAATAATTACCTAAATTAATTTATACGAGAAATCGAATAATAGTCGAATTCTGAATTATTTACACATGCGTGTGATTTTACCTCAGGGTTAGCGTGTAAGATTATTATCCCATAGATCCTAGGCTCTTAGGTTCGAATCCCGCCGAAACTCCGTGCGTTTTCAGAAATATGTACATGCGTATAAATGTTTAGCGTATCTCAAACATGACGAATATATGATGTTAATATGAGAAAAAAAAGTATTTGATTTTTTATTTTTATATTTACATCATATTTGCATTTCGATATTTAATAGGTGTTAATCGGAGTGGAATCCCTATTTGGAAACTATTGAAAACTATACATTACTTCACATAGAAAACCATTAGGGCTGGGGATTTACCGATTCAAATCACTTATTAAAAATTATAGAACTTTTTTCTATAGTTCTCTATAGTAAATTTTAAGCAGGGCTATCAATCATCAATCAATTAGCTTTCACTCGGTAAATCTGCATTTCCGATCCTATTGATGTTCAATTACATGCTTTCGCCGATGCAAGCGAGGCAGCATATGGAGCATGCATCTTTCTCCGATCAACAAACAAAAATGGTTCTCATTTGGTCAATCTAGTGTGTTCAAAAAGCAGAGTAGCTTCCTTGAAGAGGATCTCGCTTCCGCGCCTCGAATTATGCCGCATTACTGTTGTCACGATTACTCACCGCTGTGCGCGACGCTATCGGGCTGCCGTTTCAGAGAATCATCCTCTGGTCGGATTCCACAATAGTCTTACAATGGATTCAGACGCCACCACATCGTCTTAAAAAGTTCGTAGCGAATTGCATCACAGAAATTCAGCAGCATACGAAGCATCTTGAATGGAGACATGTTTCCTCCAACGACAACCCTGCTGATATTATCTCGAGAGGATTAACACCCAAGCAACTCATGAAATCACATTTATGGAAGCATGGTCCACCATGGCTCAGCCAAGAGAAGGAAAACTGGTCAATCAAGAAAGATCCATATCAGAGATACCAGAACTACGAACTTTCATCAGCAGTAGCAGCAACAACGATACCCGGACAGATTTACATCGTTTTTCAACCATCGGTACACTTCAACGCGTGATAGCTTGGTGCTACCGATTCATTCGTAATTCTCAATCTAAGACTAGGATAAGTGGAGAATTATTAATGTCTGAGCTGCAATATGCTATGCGTAGTATAATCAAAAGCGTTCAATGACAAACCTTTGCAATTGAGATCAAGCACTTAATTAAAGGAAATTCTTGTAATAAACACAATAAGCTTACTGTGTTTATTACAAGAATTTCCTTTAATTAAGTGCTTGATCTCAATTGCAAAGGTTTGTCGTTGAACGCTTTTGATTATACGACCCATAACATATTGCAGCTCAGACATTGATAATTCTCCACTGATTTAATGTCTGTCGTTAAATCCCTTTCTAGATTCTAATCACATTCTACGAGTTGGGGGTCGTTTGAAACATTCGACTCTGATTTACAATCAAAAACATCCTATCATTTTGCCGAAAGCACACATAATCACTAGCATGATAATGAAGAGTACTCACAAATTATTAGGTCATGCGGGCCCACAGGCTACGTTATATGCTTTACGACAGAAATATTGGGTTATCATTGGCAGAAGTAGAATTCGTAAAATTGTTCACGAGTGTGTAATATGTTTTAGAATGCGGCCTCAGTTCACAACATATTAAATGGGTGATTTACCCAGCAAAAGATTCCAAAATTCACGACCCTTTGTCAATGTGGGAGTAGATTTCTGTAATCCGTTTTTTATTAAAGAGAAGAAATTTAACAATCGTAATAAAGTCAAAATTTATGTAGCAGTCTTTATATGTTTAGCAACAAAGGCGGTCCACTTAGAGGTGGTAAGTGATTTGACGACGGAAACTTTCTGTGCAGCCTTGAAAAGATTTTTTTGTCGCAGAGGGAAGTCACACCTTTTACTGTCTGACAATGCTACAAATTTTGTAGGAGCAAGTAATTATTTACGAGAATTATATGATTTCATTAAATCAGAATCATTTACCCGAGCAGAAATTTTGAAAGGGCCATGATCGGGTCATTATCAGGATGCCCTAATGCCTGATCAGGCCCTGATCGTAAATGTAACGTCGAGAATGAAGATTGCCTGATCGGACAATCATAATCGCGGCCGGATAATTTTATCCTTTGCCATGCCTTGTTTTTAATAGAAAATTTTAAGGGCACTGCAAGGGCATTAATAGGGCTCTGATAAGGTATTTGTTGCTTAGATATAGGTTAGGTTGCGATATACAGTGACATGCAGAAATTTCCGGCCAGTAACATTTTGCACTCTAATTTATAAAAAAAATTTTGATAAAATTTTGTGTTAGTACAAGATTAAATAAATTAAATAAATTAGAGTAAAAAATGTCACTGGTCGAAAACTTTTGAAACGTCACTACATGTATATAACTTTTAACAATATAATAATTGATACAAAATTATAAATAAGTTATTAACTATTTATTAAAAGTTGTCTGATATTACATTATATATATGTTCCAGACAGCATACAATATTTACAAAATATTTATAAATATTTATAAGATTTATTTTAAACATTTTGTAAATATTTTTATGGTGTTTGATTGCACAGATCATAAACATTTATTATAAATATTATGAAATATTTATTATTAATGTTATAGTAAATTCTATAAAAATACTTAATGAGACATTATAATCCAAGTAAAAAATACTTATTAGAAATATTTATTTATATCTATCATAAATATTGCATAAAATATTTAGTCTATATTTTAATAATATTTCGAATAAAGCTTTATATAAAATATGTATGAAATATTTATGTAACATTTAAAAAAATGATTATTAATAAATATTTATCATAAATATTCTGTGCTGTCTGGGGTAATGTATAGTTATGCTATTTTATGTTTTAAATGTACTTACCATTTTCTGATACGGATTCGCATGAGTACAATGCTTGATGAGATGCACGAAATCTTCTCACTCGCATTCGCGTTATCAAATGTGTTTTATTATAATTTGCATCCATAATTCAATATTTAACATTACAAGATATTATAACCTCAAGAGAATATATGC